TGTATGTTTTCTTACTCCAATTTACATGATTTCTGTGTCAATGGCCTCCATAAACATTATATGTATTGAATCAATTAGAATTGGACCATACTTTGTCGTTTCTGTGTTTTTCTAACGTCATACGGTAGCACGGTATCGTCCAAACGGTAGGCGGCTACCGCCTCAGGCATAGGCTTTTGCAAACTCCGACAATAGACAGTAGCTAGGTATCGCCTAGTGGTACCCCACTACTGCCACAGAAGGAAATCCTCTGCCGGCACTTACGCCTAGACGGTAGGTCGGTACCGGCCGACAGTACCAAGGTACCGCCTGGCGGTACTACGATACCGTAATCGGTACCGTGACAAACCACCAATCCCTTTTTCATGTTATTTGCTATGAATTAAGTCACTGATTGATTCCAGGGCATTATGTGTTGCATTACAGCAAGTGAAAGGTGTTTACACCCGACACTAGGCTGCTATTTGTATTATATGATAATTATTTAATTGTTGTTGTCCTCTTGCTATATTTTAAATATAATCTTGGTATGCCTATAATGAGTAAGTAAAGTGGAATTTTGTTATCTTGGATCTGAATATGCGAAGTGATTGATAACATAGGTTACTTAGAAGAACTCTAGAACTACTTTGTGAAGAGTATGATAAGATTCTCAATTGTCAATGGATTATAGAGCCTTGTGGACTTAGTATCTAGTGGCATTCGGGTAAAGATGTATGTACATGGAATCTAAGATCTGAACCGCGAGATTGCAGGTTCCAACCAACTAGCGCCGTAGGTATCGGGTTGACCAGAATTGTAACGCCTTAGAAACTGGTCTAGAAGTTAAAGAATAATTAAATAAATAAGAATTATTTATATACGACAATATATTCTTTTAAAGAATTAAAAGATACTTTAGAGATCCTAATCGTCTCAATATAACGAGACTAATCTAATTATATTTGTAAAGATTTAAAACTAAAAGACTGATTGGTGCTAATTAATCAATATAATTAAGATGGACCAGGTGGAACTTATAAATGCTTGTTGATTGAGTTTAAAACTTATATCGTTGGGTAAGAATTGATTAATCGAATCCAATGATGCGAACAGATCTCAATTTGGAGCAAGTTGGTCCAAAAAGTCTATTTTTACTCAGACACGTTACTTTAATTTCGGAACACAAAACCCTAGGTATTTAAATATAAACTTTCACGCGCATAGGCTTTTCTATTACACGTGATCGCCGTCCCTCGTGTCTCTTCTTCCCCCATCGATCGATCCAGCACCGCCCTTCTTTTTCTGGGTGATTTCCCAAACAGTGAGATTTCAAAAATCCATTCCCAATGGTGAGGTACCTGCAAACATTTCCCATCAGCACTAACATGGTAAGTAACATGTTGTGTGAATTAGTGATAGTGTTGATATCATTTGATGTTATTATGTGATACTACTTGTGCACGGAATGCTATGAATGATTATACACATTGAATTAATCTTATGTGTGATTTCTATTGTTAAAACCTCTCACTCACCATGAAAGCTGTGCTGCTAGTTTGTTTACTTGCTACACGTAGGTAACATGAATGCCGAATAAGGAAACAATCATAGAGGGTAGCAATGGTAAAGAGATAGATAGATGCTGGCTGAGGAGTTACTTAATTGAATATTACGTTTGAATTTATTATGTTTTTTGGGCAAGAACAAAAAGTTGTTTTTGAATTAAGTACTTAAGTTTCCGCACCGTTTTATAATACTCCGATGAATATTTAAATATTTTTTTTGAATTAAATGTTTAAATTGTTTTGAAAATTAATGTATGTTGATGCGATTCTAGTGATAACCCGATTCGCTAATCTGTGTAATCGGGTTACGCGGGTCGGGGTGTTACAGGACCTGTGTCGTGTCTAACCCTTTGATAGAGTTTAGGAATGCCGAAGATTAATGATAAAGAAGAACTTTTAAGTATAAGTGAGAATCATTAATATAGTTTTAGCTTTGCTTCAAAGTACTTTTAGAGTTTACTTAGGCTTCAAAAAATCATAATTTATAAACAAAACATACATTTTAATAGAACAAACATTTCAATCAACTAACACCTTCTCACCCATGGATCTAAAAATGATTTTGGTTCTGTAGAAAGTTTAGCACAACTGAACTGGTTTTCCATTGATCATGAACTGATATATATACATGTACATAAATGGGCTACAAGTACAAGCCCAATAACACAAAATCTACATTTAATTACAAATATCCGCTAACACTCCCCCTCAAGTTGGAGCTTGAAGATCCCGAATGCCCAACTTGAACAACAAGAAATCGAAAACATTTTTGGGTAATGGTGTATTGTTTACGCTCAACCCGACCATTTTGCTGTGGTGTATTGACACAAGAAGTTTGAACAAGCACGCCCTTACTCGTGTAGAAGTCACGAAGAGGCCGGTTGAGGAACTCAGTTCCATTATCAGAACGAACAACTTTTATGATTTTATGAAACTGAGTGTGTATGAGAGCAAAAAAATGTTTCAGGCAACTAGTAACCTCACTTTTCTCAACAAGTAGGAAAACCCAAACAGCTCTAGAAAAATCATCCACAATAGTAAGGAAATAATGTGACCCAGTGGAAATACAAGGGGAATATGGTCCCCATAAATCACAATGAATTAAATCAAACAATTGTTCAGCTTTATTAATACTGGGAGTAAACGGAGAACGAGTCTGTTTGGAAAAGAAACAAATATCACAAGACTGAAAATTTTTAATTTCAGTATGGCTCTTATTAAATGGAGGAAAAGATAACACTTGAGGGGATGGATGGCCAAGACGCTGATGCAACAAAGATATAGACTCGGCTTTGAAGGCGTGGGCTTGAGAAGGAAAGACATAAACTCCGTTGCGTGCTTCACATTGACCAATCCGCGTCTTCGTAGTGCGGTCCTGTATCACACAAAAATGGTCATCAAAGAAAAATGACAGTTATGTGAATTTACAAGGCAACTAACGGAGATCAAATTGCACTTTAAATTAGGAACATATAAAACATTGTGCAAGATAAGAGAAGGTGACATGTGCACTCGACCACACGAAGTGGACACAACATGGGTTCCATCCGGCAAGCTAATAGTGCAAGGAGACCGTGGCACAACATCCGTCAAGCAAGATAATAAACCGGTCATATGATGAGAAGCTCCACTGTCCACCAACCATTCGCAAGGTACAGAGTCAGACGTACCTTGTAGTTTATCAGATGACGAAGGAGTGGAATCCAGCATGGAGAATAAAGCTGGTTGATTATCACAATATAAACGCGGAGGATATAAAATAGGGACACCTAACGCGCCCAAAATGCCATGCATCCAGCGTATCTCAACACACGCGTTGGCCATGGCCCTATATTCAGCTTCTGCAGAAGATCGCGCCACGGTAGTCTGTTTCTTCGTCTTCCATGACACCGGGGAAGTTCCCAACATAATGAAATATCCGCTAACAGGTTCTAATTCATTTGCAAGTTCTACCATAGAGCCGGATGTGCGGAAAGAGCTATACCATCGATATTTATTTCTCTTGAAGAAGAGCCGATCGGATGCGAAGTGTTCGGCGGAACCCTAAAGGCGAAGAAAAGTGTGTGATGAGCCCTACCGGCAAACCTTTCGGCGGAACCCTACCAACCAAGGGTTTGCAAGCAACAAAGATCACAACCGCCCACCATCCAGATCGCGAGCAGTGGTGGGGTGGGTGGAAGTGGCAGCGACGTTTGAAGCAGGCATGACGACGGCGGTTGAATATGTGGCCAACAACTTTGTGAAGAAGAAAATGAATATTTAATAATTATAATGAACATTTTTGTGTTTTCAAATGAACATTATGTATAATTGTAATAAACAAATATTGTTTTAAAATAAACACATGTGTGGAAATGGACATTTTATGGATGAGTAAATTTCTAAAATAGCATTTAATAACTATGCGTTTTCTGAAATTAGTCTCCAAGATGAACAAACTACCGAGATGGTACTCATTACTTGTGAATAATGCTTTGTTTAGCCATCCGACTGATGATCTTCAAGACATCATCTGAATAGCGTTTAAACTTATACTAATTTCCCAAAATGCTTCTTTCTAGTTGAGTGCTATTCCAAATTAGTTCACTTTCGAAATAAAAACTCATTAAATATGAAAATATATTTCAAAATTTCATAGGATGAGAATATAATAAAAATAATATTGTAAATATAATTCAATAATTTAAAATATGAATGTTTCAGATTGTTTAAAATTATTTAGAATAATACCATGTAAATAAAATATTAAATAAAGGTTACATCTGTTTTAAAATAGTTTAAGTTATTTCAAAACTAGAAAACAAATAGATAACATTTATTGAATATTTATTTACATGATACTTTTCTAAATCATTGCAAATAATCCGAAACGTTTACTTTCAAATTATAAAATTATATTTAAAGTTTTATTTATTATATTCTCATCTTATAGTATTTAAAAATATTTTTCCATATTCAGTGAATTTTTATTTTGAAAATGGACGCATTTGAGAAAACACCTAATCAGAAATAATCATTTTGAGAAATTAGTATAAATTTTAACGTCATTTTGAAGACTGTTAGTCGGGACTAAACTAAGTATTATTTTCAAATAACGAATATAATCTGAATAATTAATTCGTTTTCAGATTAATTGAGAAATTTACTTAAATAACACTAAAACATAATGACTTTCCCTAAATAGCACCCCATATGTTTTTCTTCCCAATGTAGTATTTTTAGTCATTATACATTAGTCATTATTCAAGCAAATATTCGTCATCACTGGATATTATGGACATTATTAAGTGCTATTTAGAAAATAAATCAGTTTAAATGCTATTTAGAGAAATGACTTAAGTTTTAATGCTATTTAGTACAAATATTTCTAAAATGATTATATTGGTCGGGGGTAAAATAGTGATTTGAATTTTATCTCTTTTTACACTTACCTTAACATCTCTTCAGCTTCCGCTCTTCCGGACTACAACGACGAAGCACGGGCAAGCACCGGTTGAGACGGACAACGGTCGTCCCAAAACCGGCGACGACCAACACAGATACCGGGGGAGACCCACCCAGATTCCGGTGACAGCCCACGCATATACCGGCGACAACCCACGAAGCTGACCAGGTAATTTCCGATTCACATACTGAACATGTTGAATTCCAATGTTTCTGGGTGTGATTGGCTGTGCAATAAGATTAAGAAATCCAGTTGATTCGGATGCTTTGTTGGGTTTGCAATAAGGATTTGAGAAATCGAATAAGATTGGTATTCTAATATCTTTTTACTCTATTTGTTGGAGTTCCCACATCGTAAAAAGTACCACTAAGCTCTATCTATTAGCTTAAACTTTTGGGTTAGACAGTGGATCCCGACTTTATATGCAAGTGAGTAATTTTATCAGACATTCTACCCGTTGTTCTCGGTCTGCCGGAATTTTAATATGGTATCAGAGCGAGTCGGTTCGGGTTTGATTCTTCCTGGTTGTTTGGATGGCTATAAGAGATTGAGATGTCACCGCCCGTTGTTTGAGCTAGTTATAAGAGATTGTGATGTTAGACCCGTTTGTCCAAGTGTTAACTAGGTCAAACTAATTACCACTTGAGGAGAGTGTTGGAGTTCCCACATCAAAAAAAGTAATGAAATACCACTAGCATATATAGAAGGGTGAAACTCTACCCATCAGCTTAGCTTTTGGGTTGGAAAGTAGATCCCGACTTTATATGCAACACTCTGCACGTTGTTCTCGGCATGCCGGAATTTTAATACTGTTTTTTATGATTGGTATTGTTACTTGGTCGTACTTACTGCATTTTTATACCCACTAGACACCTTTTTGCATGCTTGTATTGCTCTAAATTTTTGTTGTTGCAGAAACAGTTCATATTTTTATTGATGTGTAATGGTGTTTTTTGTGAATTCTTCTGACATGGTGCTGGATTTGACTGGCAAACCTATCTTGAACATGACTGCTGTGTACTCTTGAAGTAGAGATGTTTTTGGTTGCCAATCATTTTAAAGACCAATGAAAGCGTCAAATGAAGGTCCTCTTGGAAATACACAAAAAAATAGCATTGCATTTCGACATTGTTGAACTTAAATTTGGATTTCAATTCTAGATTTGACCCAAATTACATGTTTGTGAATCCAAAATATTTGGATTTTGGTCAAATTCCTCTAATTCCCAACAAAGCCCAATTAAAAATCCATTCACTCCCCTTACTCTCCTTGTAATTTGAATTTCCGACCCCCTCTCTATGGGTTAGGGCCAAGTTCCTTCCTTCTCCTCAGACGATTTCATTCCGTTCTCTCGCCATAGCCCTTTCCCTCTCTCTTCCTCTATGCCATCGCCATTGGAGATTGAATCCCATGTGTTTCCCAAATGCTGGAATGAAAATTGAGTTATGGGATTTCAATTTTTAGAACTGAAATCCAATAATTCAAATGAATTCATAGTTTTCAAACACTGCTGTAATGCATTTCATACCAAGGATTAAGGACTAGTAAATTTAGACTCTGGAAAGTCACTGATAAACTTTAACTTCACTAAGAACAATCATAAATTAGCTGGTTTTGATCCAATCAGAAACCTAAATTACCTGTCACCATGTGCCGTTTTTTCATATCTGGTCACGGTTAGTCGTATCCGTAGGTTGCCAGTGGCTCGTCAGTTGTGGGTTGTGTTGGTGCGGCATCATTTGTTGTGAGGGTCACAAGTCCTTCACCGTTGTCGTTTTGATGAGATATGAAGTGGAAGATATGTAAGGGCTAATGGAGGTATCACAAACATAGTATGAAAATTAAAAAAAAAAGAGAATGAATTGGAAACGTAGTTCTGAAATCATATAGATACAATTGTGAGAATCTGAATTGTCATATTATGATAACAAATATGAGTGTCAAAAGAACGCCCCTCATATAATATTTACTTTTCTAAAGTTAATATGACCTTATAGTTTAATTATAAATGTAAACAATATGTTTAATTTAATTTATTACATAAAAGTGACAATAAATAAACTGAGTTAATATAAAACTAATATTTTTTCTTGTGGAATCAACCCTTACACTATGTTTGGTTAATGGAATTTGGAAGGAAAAGAAAAAAAATGGTTTTCTCTCATTTTCTTCACCAAACTAGGAAGAATTTAGTTTTCCCTTCTCTTCGTATATTTTCTTTTCCTTATACTTTTCTCTTCTTTTTCCTCTCTAGCCAAACATGAAAAAGTGTTTTCCATCTTATTTTCTTTTCTTTTCTCTTTCAAATTCCTTGAACCAAACATAGTATTACTTACACTGGCTTTATATTTTAAGAGTATTAAGCGCTTTATATTTTAAAAGTATTAAGAGTTTGTTCTCTTCGTCCGATCTTATTTTATTGAGGTTTGTGATATGGTCTGATTTGATAGTAGTTGTAGACTTGTAGTCATATTTGAAGGTGTTTCTGTTTTGGCCCGATTCCAATAAAAATAAGTAATAGGTAATAAGAATAAGTTGAAGAGAACAAGCTCTAAGTTAAAAAGGGTTAAGAGATAAGGTTGAATTTGTGGACACTACGATATGCCTAACAAATTTTGGCATCATGTCTAAAAAAAACACATTTCTCTTAATAAATTAGCTTTACTATTTGGTCAACAAACAAAAAGTGTGGCAGCACTTAAAACTGTTAACTCTAACCCTTGCCTTCATTGTTTAGTATCTTGAGAATTAAACACACAACACTCACAAATAATCTGCGAGAAACGAGAGAAACGGAACACGGACGACACACAAGAATTTAACGTGGTTCGGTTTCCCTAATCCACGGCTGCAACAGGAGGATTCTATTTCACTTGTCGTGTCTCCCGGAATTACAAGTACAAGGGCGAATATATATATGAGAAAAACCTAGGGTTACTAAACATGGGCCGGGCCTACAAGTTAAGCCCAAGCCTCCACAAACCCAACATTCTCCCACTTGGAGGCTTGATAGTCATCAACTGCCCTCCACCACGATTGCCTGTACATCGAGTAATCTTCCACAGCTCTCCTGTTGCAGCGGCCCTCTCATCAGACAACTAAAAGGCCCGTTGAAGCTCTCCCAAGCTCCAACACATCAGTCATGGCTAAATCTGCCACTGACTCGTCCTCGGTCCCTACCGGCTCCCACTGCAGACGCACACTGCCGGATCCTGGAACATCCTGAGAACAAACACTCTCCATACTCAGCAAGAAAATTTCTGGAGATGTTCCAACAGCTGGAATACTGGTTCTCCTGACCCACTGTCTTCTAGGCAACTTGGCTGAAGCGCCTCTTGAGCACCCACTGCCATAAATACCTCTGACTGCCCCCTTGAACCTTTCCACGCTCGTTCATCCTGAGTTTGACCTGTGGCTCTAGGTTTCTCTCTTGCATAGACAACCTTATTCTGCCCACGAGACTCTGTGAACCGGACTTTGTTTCTCTTCTGAACTGGGACGGTCACTCCCTCAGATGGTAACTCGACCATATACAGCGAACCTCTCTTCTCTCCACGGGCCATGACAAGATTTACCTTCACGACCTTCCACTGCCCATCAAACTTCTCTATCCTGATCTTTCCGTCCTCAGACATCATCTCTTCTGAGTATCCAAAATCTGACCAGAGAACACGTGAGAACAGATTGAAACAAACAACCAGAACTGCCTCGAAAATTGCAGCAGCAAACTGAACAGCAAGGTTGTTCGGACTGCCAACAGATGACTATCTCGGTGGTCTTCTGATGTGTCGGCAGAAACCCTAGAGTCGCTAGGTTTGGCAGTGGAGGCAGATCTGTGTGTATGACCTAGGCTCTGATACCAGTAGATGTCTGATGCAGGGCAAGATTTTGGATGGTGGAAGATGCAAGTCAAGGACTTGCTATGTCAGGTTCTTCCATGTTTGACAGTTCAGAAACCCGAGAAGATGAAGGATGAAGAATGGGCTGACTTGGATAGAAAAGCCCTAGCCGTCATCAGGTGCACTTTGACAAAGAGTGTGACTTTCAACATCGTGAAAGAGACCACTGCTCGTGGGGTTATGACAACGTTGTCAAACATGTATGAGAAACCTTCCGCGTCTAATAAGGTATTCTTGATTAGACAGTTAGTTAACACTCGTATGCGGGAAGGTGGTTCTGTTACCACTCATATCAATGTTAGCATACATGAGGCCAGTAAAGAACTAGTTTGGTTGAAGACTTTTCTTAAAGAGTTGGGCAAACAGCATCTGATTACTTATTGTACTGTGACAATGAGAGTGCGGTGAAACTTGCTAAAAATCCAGTTTATCATGGCAAGACGAAGCACAGCGGGATGAGGTATCACTTTGTGAGGGGATTGATCAGTAATAGAACAATCAAGTTGAAGAACATCTCAGGTGCTAAAAATCCAGCAGATATGTTCACCAAGACAGTGGTGCTGGAAAAGCTGAAGCTTTGCATAGCTTCAGCTGGTCTCCTGGAATAGTGTTGCGGAGAGGGGCAACTAGGGAGATGTGAAGATCAAGGAAGATCTTTCATTTACAGAAGTACAGAGAGGAGCCGCAGTTTGGTCCAAAGACTCCAAGTGGGAGATTGTTGGTGATGTGTAGTCATTGGCCCAAAGTGGCCCACTTGTAGACAACTGAGAGTTAGGAGACCAGATTAGGGTTTCGGCCGGCCCAAATGGTTTTAAGCCCAGTTTGCTATAACTTGTCCAGCAAGGGTTAAACCCTAATTAGTTGTCTATATATATGATCTCCTGTACTTGTAATTATCATCACTCAATAATACAAACCCTAGTTGCCCCTGTGGATGTAGGTCAGATTAGACCGAACCACGTTAAATCTCGTGTTCTTTATTGCTTTCTTGCTTTCTATTCGTGTGTGTGTGCTTTTGTTCTTAACATAGTACTTCTTCCGTCCCTAAAAGATTGTCACACTTTGACTTTTTTGGTCAAACTGTGGCATCTTTTGAACAAGAATTAAATATAGTTTAAAATAATCAAATATTATAAAACATTTGATATTTCAAAACTATATTTTAAAATAAACCCAAATTTACTAAATTTACATTATAACTAAATATACTTTTTCCATAATTCATGGTCAAAGGATGCCACAGTTTGACTAAAAAAGTCAAACTGTGACAATCGTTTAGGGACGGAGGGAGTATATCTCATTATCTATTCATCTAGCTTCATTAGTGTGAGTATGTTTTATGTCTAGTGTGTTTTAGTCTGTTTGCCTTTTGAGTCACAAACTCGTAGAGATAAGTAAAGTGAAAATTGTGTGGTTGAAATTTATGGAGAGTAGAGAGGAATATAATGGACCACTTGATAATTTCTACTCCATCTAACCCACTATTTTGTCTGCTTTTACCTTTTTTTTGTCCGTCCCACTATTTTTGTCCCATACCATTTAGGTCATTTTGTGTGGCTCACATTCACCATCAAAAGAAGTACAAATAGTTTAAAGAGCCATTTTGCTTTGTTCCATCATACTCCAAAGCCAAAAAATAGTGAATCTATGGCTCCATCGGACATGATGGAAAATATCATACCACTCCCTCATGACCCAAAAATAGTGGGAGTGTGGGACTGAGGGAGTATAATGGAAATATTCATGATAAATTGGGACACACCAAAGAGAAAACATGCATATGATAATTTTGGGTAGAGGAAGTGCTACTGCATATTTGACAAGTTCTGAAGCTGGTTTAAGCCTTTTGGACTTTGGAGTTTGGAGGGTTGAATTGTACTATTGCAAATAGTTCCAGGGCTTACCTGACCCTCTTTCCTAGCTTTGCTTTGCAGCTTACTGATGTTTTTCATGTAATACTACCAACATTCTTTTTTGTCTTGAATTTTCACTTGAACACATTTTCTTAGCCTTTTTAATAGCAGCATTTTCATAAAGATGAAGATTGCAGTAGAAGGATGTATGCATGGAGACCTAGACAATGTCTATGCTACCTTATTACACTTACAAGATGTGGAGAAAATAAAGATTGATCTTCTGATATGTTGTGGTGACTTTCAGGTACTGATTGGTGGATTCATTGGATATCTTCCATGCTTCCTTTAAATAGCATATTACTTGATTCTTTGCATTGGTCAATCATAATGAATTTGAGCACAGAATTTTTGTCAGTGTTAAAGCAAAATGAGATCAAGTACATGGTACTGGGGCTCTTCATTTTATGTGAAGTTGTGCTCTAAATATGTGTCATTTGATGATGGGTTCTTATAGAACTTACATTATATACAATTTCAAGGCATCATTTCTATTTCAAAGTTAACTTCTCTTAACAACATAAGTCTGGATAATAAAAACTAGTCAGAATAGTTACAGGAAAAATGTTCTTTAATCTAGCATTCTAGCTTGATATGGCTAATTGGCAATAACATGCTTGAGTTCAGATTAAAAAGCACATCTTTTTTCGTAATGCTAATTATTTTAGCAGAACTGGAACTATAACAGCACTTTAAAATCTTATTTTTTGGTTGTTCTATGTAAACTTGAATCTTGCCCAGTTCACTTAGTAGGGAAATGCTTACTATTCATACCATAAAGCATATGCCAGTGGGTAAGAAACTAAGAATAATGAACACTAATGTTTGTGGTTTCCATGTTTTTACTTAATCAGCATGCATCTTGCCTCTGTTAAGTTTATCTGTACAGGGGAGAGTGGGGGTATTCAAAAAAGCTTTTCTTTAATACGCACGTGCTTATGGGTTCGTGCTACTTATGTATGAAACTAGGTTTTGGGAATTTCGAGATTAAATTTTAACACGAAGCATATTCTATGCACAAGCAGGCTGTTAGAAACAAGAAGGATCTTGAAAGTTTAAATGTGCCACACAAGTACAGAACCATGAACTCTTTCTGGAAGTATTACTCAGGAGAAAAAGTAGCACCATTCCCTACTATTTTCATAGGAGGCAATCACGAAGCTTCCAATTACATGTGGGAGCTGTGAGTTGACTTTTTTTGCACTTTGCACTTATGTAGCCTGTTCTGATTTACATTTTTGCTTATGATTGATTTTATGTCTTCTTCTTCTAAAGTAAAATGTAAATAGCATTCAAGTTTCTATTTATTTTGCAAAAAAAAAGAAAGAAAAAGTATTCCTTTATTTATTGTTAGTAGGGAAGAAAAAGTGTTCACATGTATGACTCATTTTGGTCTTTGGAGATGTATAATACTGTAGTGATGTATTTAGTGCAAACCAGTTCCATTGTTGCCATAATATATGTGTAGGTGATGCTGTAACTTGTAATATGATTTTAGACTGGATAGAAAGCTTATGAATGCTCTAGTTAGATTGATGTCGAGCATGTTTGGGAATAGCTTTAGCGATTAGCGTTAACGTTTTGAAAAGGCTATCTACGGGCAGCGTTTAGCGTTAGCGTTTTCAAAGTAATCTGCACCGTTAAAATTTTATCCAAAACGCTAACGCTAATCCCTAACGCTATTTCCAAACAGGCCCGTCATGTAGTTTACGCTACTTGCCTTTATAAACATGAGTCATTTTGTGAAGGCAGTTTCATGTATCTTAAGGAAATTTAATCTGCGTTTGCATTATTCACTTATCTTCCACTCCATTGACTTTTAGTGAAACCTTTAGTTCTTTCCTTTGTTTCCATCTAGACTTATCCCATGAAATATTGTTCTTTTGTCACAGATATTATGGAGGTTGGGCAGCACCTCAAATATACTTCCTTGGATATGCTGGAGTAATCAAGTTTGGTAATATTCGTATTGGGGGCCTCTCTGGTATCTATAAATCAAATCACTATGGATTGGGTAAGTTGTACATGAGAAATATTGCATTGGTTTTCATTTCTCTTCATTGGTTGACGCACTTGGGGTATAAAGAATATCATTAAATTTTTCTACTTGCTATTATTTATGTGCCTACACCTAGCAAAAATTGATCGCACATGATTTTGGTCTGAGGCCTGATCCGAAAATACTGGATTTTGAACAAAGATTTTGTTGATCGGACCCAAGGATAACCGAACCTAAAATGACCTGCTATAAATGAGTCAAACCTGTGCAAACCCAAACCCGACCTAACTGACTTGCTCGGTTAAGTTTTTTTTCTTTCAAAATCATGCACTTTAGTATGAAATATAATGGATAAAATAATACTCCCTCTGTCCACCTAAGATCTTTCCATTATGCGTTACGATGTTTGACCGACTTTATTTTCAAATCAATTTATTTGATTATATGGGTAAAATTTAAAAAATAAATTTTATATATTAAAAAACAACATGAAAAGTTCTACAAAACTAGAGGTAACAAGACTATATTATTTTATGAAAAGAGTAGTAAAAATGAGCAAAAAAGTGAGTTAAGTTTGACCCTATGAATATTGTCCGAGAAGATCTATGGCGGACAGAGGGGGTATTATATTTTTCTTTTTTAATGTAAACATATTTTTTCAAATGAGTTTTAATGATCATGTATGGCTCTCTTACTTTTTTTCAAAATTTATACATTTTTTATTATTTACAGTATAATATTTTAACCTCTTTGTGCTTTGTGATCTTATATTATCTGTGTTGCTTGAGCCGTGGTGGTGTGGTCTCTTGGAAACACCCTCCCCAGACCCTACTCTCATGGGATCCAACTGGTTTGTTATTATTTATACTAATATTTTTGTATATAACACAAAATTAATTAAAATTTCAAAAGAAAATCTTATAATAGCTTTAATATATATATATATATATATATATATTGATATTTTTATTATTTTTTATGCAAAACAAATGTGATAGCATTAATTTATATATATTTAAAAAAAATGAACGTGACTCGAAGCCGATGACATTGGGTCATGAACATGCATTTCCCAATCCGTACTCGGACTTAACCGAACCGAAAGGAATTGAACCTGAACTGACTGACCTATTTGCCAGCTCTATGTGCAAAATTAAGTCTTCTATTCGAAGATAAAGTTGTGGCAGATTTGCAGAAATGTCCATGAGTTACTACCCCTTGATAAATGCTTGACATTTTGTGATGATAAATTACAATAACTTGATTAACTTTTCTATGGCAGGACATTTTGAAAAGCTTCCCTACAATGAGCGAGATATTCGATCCATATATCATGTTCGTGAATATGATGTTCATAAGCTTAAGCAAGTTGAAGAACCAATAGATATCTTCCTTTCACATGACTGGCCCGTGGGTATCACAGATCATGGAGACGTGAAGAGTCTTCTTCGTAAAAAACCTTTTTTCGAGGAAGAGGTAGGTAAAAAAGGAGGATGTGTAAAATATAATGAATTGAGTAATTTAGTTCACTCTTTAGATGTGTCTAGACTCAACAATGTTCATGCCTAATCCAAGAGGTCAGATTCATTGGGGCTGACTTCTCTGTATGTTTGACTTCATGCCTTCACTGAGATACATTTAATGAATGTGGCTTGAGTGACTGGCTCTCAATGTTTCAAAGACAGTTTCCTTTCATACTAGTCTCTTATTACCACTGCCACCACCACTATTAATATATTCCAGATCCAACATGAGGGAATGCACTGGGTTTGATGCTGTTGTGTTGTTGTTGTCGTCGTCGTCGTTGTCATTGTTGTTATTATTATTATTATTATTATTGTTGTTGTTGTTGTTGTTGTTGTTGTTGTTCATTTGCTTGAGGAACTACTTGTCCTCCACTTTCTTTACCGAACTTGTCTCTTATTGTTATAATTTTTTCCCCTGATGAACTTCTTGTTCTCCCGTTTCTTTACGTAGTAATCAATGTCGTTTTGTTTTTTTTAGCCAAAAGAGGTATTAGATCTGTGTACTTTTCTATTCATGTGTGATGTGTATTTAAGTTTTTCCGTTTACTTCTACAATACTGTTAGGTTGTTAACTTGTGATTGTTGGCATGGGCATGCAGTGCTAGTTTTATCTGACATCGGTATATGCTGAATATGTCTAAAATATGCTTCCAGATTTGCGAAGGAACTCTGGGAAGTAAACCTGCTGCAGAATTATTGGAACTACTGAGGCCATCCTATTGGTTTTCTGCCCATCTACATTGCAAATTTGCGGCTTTAGTTCAACATGGAGAGGATGGTCCAACCACCAAATTTCTCTCTCTCGATAAGTGCCTCCCTGGTCGGAATTTTTTGCAAGTACTTTCTTTCACCATTGTTGTTCACTTGCATTTTTTTCACAGATTGCTGAAATACAGTATCCTGACTTATAAGGTATATCTTGAGCTTAGGTTATTGAAATAGAGTCAGAACCAGGGCCTCATGAACTCCAGTATGATGAAGAGTGGTTAGCAATTACGAGGAAGTTTAATTCCATCTTACCTCTGACAAAAAGGCGTGCGAATTATAGGTGAATAGTTTTATAGATGTGACAAGTTAATGGTTTGTGAAAGGAATTTGATAGGTATTTATGGTGTTTTTCACTTTGCAGTGATGCAAGATTTAACCTTCAAGAATGTCGCAATTTCGTAAGGAATAAACTTAAACTAAGAGGAGCAAAACCTTTCGATTTTGTGTGCACTGTTCCTTGCCACAGTACCAGTCAGCCTTCTGCTAATGATGCCTTTTCTGGTAATGATCTGCGTCACCACATATCTAATCACTGAGGATATGACCTTAGATTGGAATTTTTGGAGAGCTAGGATTAGGGTAGTTGGATAGACATTTTAGGCTTGGTGGTAGTTTCCACATTTGTTGCTGTGTGCTTTTTATGCTTGGTGCTTTACGCTTTTATGCTTTATGCTTACTATGCTTGTTGTGCCTTTCCTATGTTAGTTTGTTCTTTGCTTTTTGTGCTCTGTCCTTTCTTTGTAGGTATCTTTTGTGTTTTTGTGGAATCTGTTTACTTGAGCCGGGGGTCTCTTGGAAAGAGCCTCCCCACACACCCCTCAAACCCTACTCTCATGGGGTCCAACTGGGTTGTTGTTACTGTTGTCTTTGTATCAATGGTTAGCGGGGTTGGGATAAAATTAACATCTATGGACAATGTATAATCATCATGTTCATAGTTAAAACAAAGAAAGACCACTCCTTTAGAAGGTTGCAACAGGAAGGGTATCTAGTGTAAAATTTGCCACTATACCTTTTTACATGCATTTAAAGTGTTAGTTAATTGTTGACAATTAACTGATAACTATAATTTTAGTGTCACCAACCCCAACATAGTTGGGATTAAGGTTGTCATCCTTGTTCTAAATGATACTTACGGTTTTTCTACATGCTGTCTCAAGAGTCATATCACTGTTTGGAGTTCAGTTTTTGAAATTTAAAATGTCGTCTTTTGTACTAATTCATTCTGATGTTCGTCTTGTTCATCCACAGGACACTGCCGAAATCCCCAAACAGAAGCTTTACTACAGCTCCTTGAACTTGAATATCTTCTTGATGGCACGTCAGGATCAAGGGAGCTTTCTGGAAGCTCAACATCTAGTAATACTCTCTCATCGTTCGATTACATTGATTTCAATGCCAGTAAATTCCATTTCTTCCACTGCTGTTCCAAGTGAGAAACAAGTTTTCGTATGATGGAGCTAACCTTTGAAACCGTTTTTTTCATTTGGTAGGTTCGTTTAACTATTTCTCTGAAGATATACCCATTGATGATGTGAATGATGTAGATGATCCAGATGAGGCTGGAGATGGAGACAGTGAAAATGAACAAACATAGAACTCGTCTAATAGGTAATCGTTGCTTCAATGATAGTTTAAGTTTAGTGCCTCATTGACTTCGAGGGGGAAGAAATAATCCCTTTTAATTCTTTATTCCATCATATAGTCATGATTGATAATAATTGTCTTCTGATGGGTATATTGAAATCTACTTAAATGCATATTAACTAATTAGATTGATTATATTGAGCATACTTAGTTACTCCTTCCGTCTAAGAATTTTTTTAAGCTAGGTGATTATGAAAAAAGTCACATGTGAGCATTTTATCAAAAGAAATTGGCTTAAATATCAAATTGGCTCCCTATTCTATAGCTCATAGCCTTACTCTTGCCTTGGTAGCCTCTCCAGACTTTCACTTTTGTAATGATTATTCATATGACAATTCACTTTATTAAACTCTCACTTCATCTACACTTTCTTTTTAAAAAAACCCATGCAAATGTGGAAAGTGAATGGCTTAAAATGGCTTAAAAAGTCACATGTAAGGCTATGAGCTATAGAATAGGGAGCCAATTTGATATTTAAGCCAATTTCTTTTGCCATTAAAAAAAATGAGAAGGAAATGTATGGATAGATAAAAAAGGAATGTAGGAACAAAATGAATGGATGTGAGCATTATACTAATGAGTATTATTTAAGCTAGTTCATCCATCTGGCTTGGAGTGTATCTCGTCTAAAGTAGATTCACCCATTTCGAGACAAAGGCCTTGTTTGGGAACAAAGTTTTCGAATAACATCAGTGTTTTAGATAAAATTTTAATGGTGTAGATAAATTTTGAAAATGCTAATATCAAATGTTATTGTTAGATATCTATTTCAAAGTGCTAATGTTAACCTCTAATGTTATTGTCAAACCAGGTTGGGTGCATAATTCCATTAGGTCAGACGAAGAGGGGCGCTTCATAGGGTAGGCTAGTATGGTACGTGATTAACTCGACGATATCTAGATTGTACTCCCTTCGTCCTAAAACTATCTTCCCACTTCTCCTTTAGCTCCGTCCTAAAACTATCTTCCCACTTCTTAAAAAAGGAAGTAAATAGACTATATTACCCCCATCTGGCTTCCTCCGTCTTTCTGTCTCCCGTCTTCTTCTCTCTTCGTTCTCCCTCTTCGTCATCACTTCTTCCTCTCTCCCTTCAATTCCTCCATCTCTCATACCCAGGTAATCCTCATCTTTTCTCCATCTCTTTGGGAAGGTTGATTTAGGACGGAGGGAGTAATTGGTTATGTTGTACCATAAATACTCCACCCTCATTGGAGAAGCCGAGAAGGGATTCTATTTTAGTTATTCGTTTGTACTCTTTGAGCTTTTATCCATGTTGATTTATATTCTTAATTCTTGATATAATATTTACGGCTGTGTTCGGAGAATTTTTTTTTATCATTTGGAGTTTTTATTGAGAGTCTCAATCGTGCCTATCATTTACGATGATCGGAAGGGAAGGGAATCTGCAGGAAGGAGGGTGGCCACAGGCACTGTGTTGGAGTTGTGTTGTAGTGGCCAATCATTTTATGAATGTTTCTGTTCTTTTATCATGAACTAAAGGCATCTATAATTATATTTACAACCATTCATTTTAATGTATATAATAATTATAGTCATTAGGCTTGTAATCTGTGATGATTGGTCAAAAAGTGATTATGCTATTGAGAGTGACATCTCACCCTGGTCAAGTGTTAATGAGAGTAAGAATATGAATATTGTTGCAATATTTGAGACTGGTGAGTGTGTATGAAAAGAGAGAAAGTGAATAAAGTTTATACTGTGAATAGTTAGTAGACAATTTAATTTTATATGAAGAGCGCACAATATTTTGAACCTATATGTAGCTATCCTTCGACTTGAAGTCATTACATAGTATACACATATGAACCTGTGCACTTTGATCATGATTGAAGCCATCTAATACATCGATCTGTGGGCACATGGTTGTGTATTGGTGCACCGTAACGCATGCTTAGAGATGGGAATGATGTACGCATGATTTTTCTCTCTTAATTCTAAGACATGAATGCTTTATTCTATTCTATTAGTCTTAGGGGCTGTTTGGCAACTTCTGAATGGGTAAGTGCTGAATCAGTAAGAGGTCTGAACCATTAAGTGCTGGACCAGTAAGAGGTCTGAACCATTAAGAGCTAGTATATTGCTTAACTATTCAGAGGCAAAATATCTGATCAATTCAGATAAGAGGTATTAATCATTCAGACTCTGTATAATACTTAACCATTCAGAGGCAAATCTCTTAACCATTCAGACTTCTGAACCATTAAGAGGCTGAAACAAACAGTCTGAACCATTAAGTGCTGAACCATTCAGACATCTGAACCATTAAGAGGCTGAAACAAACAGCCCCTTACTCAAAACTAGTCATAGGAAATTACGATATTAATGGATTATTCTATTCTACTATTCTCTTAATTCACATTTTATTTTTAAAAACATAGGAAACTACAATAACATATTTTAGTTCACATCTATTGAATAAATAACTAAAACATCTCACAGTAATTGTCGAGCAAATTTACAATTTAATCTTAGTGGGCAAAATTTGTATCACATAAGATCTTTATTGACATTGATTATCAAATAGAATAACCTAATTCAAGTATCTCAATCACTTCACTCTATTCAAATTTATTTAATACACCTTATTTACCTACCTCGTGCCACTAAACTCTTGTTTTATTATATTAAATACTAAAAACATAAAATAAATTTACTTTCTATGATGTAATAAGTGTAAGAATGCTTCGATCATAAGTTTAGAATAGGAATTGAAAAATATGGCAATTAACACAATAGTAATTTTTAATACAGAGTTTCAAAAGAACTAAAAATTTCATGCAACGTGAACTTATCATGTATCTGATCTCCCATGCGTGGTATGGTTTTGCTTTGTTTCACTCGTTAGTGTTTGTCCTCTTGGGTACAAGGAAAGTGATTCATGATACTATTAAACATATCCCGAGACTAGCAAATTATATCGTACGGCCGGTTGTACGATTCTTCTCATACTGTTGGTGTAATCAACATAAACAAGAGTAGGGTTGAAAAAACTAGAGTAGGGTTAGGAGTCGTCACCGTAAAATTCGGGAAGAGGCCGTGCGATTTGGTGAGGAAGAACAACTTCTCATCGTGGTTGCTTCCCCTCCACAACACCGGAGACTCGAATCCTGCGGCCAACAACAACAAGCCTCCTGCCGCAAAGATTTCCACTACCACTGTCGCGGTCGAATTCGGCAGATAGTAATTGGACCAGCAGCTGGGAGGTGAGTAAGATAATCGGGATCGGCGGCTTCAACAACATGTATCAAGGAGATATCGACGACAACAAAGCTAGGGGCGATGACGGCGGCAAAAACCAGCAGCTCCGATTCTCCATAAATAGTTTGGTTGTATGAACGATATGTTGCTTCAGAATGAACACTACATTACTCGAATTGAACATTATGTTGTTTCATAATGAACACTACGTTGTTTGTAAATTAATATTATAACTATAATAAATAAATGTATGAAAATGAATAATGCGCTGTTTCAGAATGAACACTACGTTGATTCAAAATGGAAACACCTGTTATTTCAAAATAAATATTCTTTGTACTCTATAACAAACACTTATGATTTTTGCAAAAATGAGTACTACTTTATTCTAAAATGAGTATTGCACTATTACCTAACTGTATTATAGTTCTTGTACCGCCGGTGGTATAATATAAGCATTCCCTGAGACTCGAGAAATTATATTATTTCTCGGGTAAATGAAGCCTTAATAATGAGTTATTTTAATTCATCTAATGCATAAACAGATATCAATGTCAATAAACTAGACAAGATTCTACACAGAATCCATGAGACATGAGTGAGATGAGTAACAATGAAAATGTAGAACTTTTTCATGGGACGAAAAATATATAAGAACGAAGTTATATTTTATTTTATCTTTTAACAATATTAGTAAATAAATACAGAAGAATATCAATTATCAACAAGAACAACCTAGTTGGATCACACAATAGTAGGGTCTGAGAAGAGTTTCTTTACGCAGACCTTGCCCTTACTCGAAAGTAGGGAGACTGTTTCCAAGAGACCCCCAGTTCCAGTAGCGCACATACAATATAAGAGCACAGAAGACACATTAAAGTAGAGAAATTAAAGCACAAAGCATACAAAGCACACAAAACACACAACAAAGCAAACAACGTACGCCTAAACAAGTGCAATCCCATATTCAAAAGCGCATGCCCGCCTATCCTATTTCTAGCTTTCTAAACGCTTCTATCTAAGGCCATATCAGCAAAAAGGACAAGAATTCATACGTCATGTCAAATCACCTCCTCCCAATACTTCTTAGGTCTACCTCTATCCCAATTCCCACCTCCAACGTAAGTCTCTCGCATCTGCGCACTAGGGCGTCAGCACTTCTCCGACTCACATGCCCAAATCACTTTAGCCTAGTTTCTCGTAGCTTATCTTCCACAGGTGCCACACTCACCCGTACTCAAATAACCATGTTTTGAATCGAATTCATCATCGTCCAAACATCCAACACAGCATCTGCATCTCTGCAACATGCAATTGACAAACATGAATTTTTTTAACTTCCTAATACTCAGCACCGCAGGCGTTCGTAGAGGGTAGTGGCTTCCGTAGCCACTGGAATCCAGTGACTACGGAACCGGGCCGACATTAAATAGCTTGGTTATCCAAATCAACCCTCTGTGGCTGACATACTTCCAAAACTCCACAGAAATGCCTCAAGGCTTTCTCAATTCTTATCTCCGAACGGCAAGAATTTATAATATCAAAACTATATTATATTTTATACTCTAGTAATACGAGAGAGAAAAATCATTTTTAATGAGGAGTGTAACTGGGTTGAGAAAAAGAAAGAGAAAAGTGCATTGTTTACCCTCGAATTCTTTGAAAATTGCATGATTTACCCCTGAACACTAAAAAGTGCGCCAAATACCCCTGAATTATTCAAAAATTGCACGGTTCATCCCTGAACAATAAATATTGCACCAAATACTCCTGAGCTCTTCGAAAATTGAACTATTTACTCTTAAACATTTAAATAAAGACGACAATTTCGGGTAAAGGTACTTTAGAGAATTCACAAGGCCAGATGAATCATATTCGCAATTCTTGTTCATGCAAGCAACGCACTCCTTATCTAATAGTTTAGGACCAACGATGCAACGTTTTAATTTGTTCAAGGGTATTTGGTGCATTTTTTAATGTGTAGGGGTAAATCGTGCAATTTTCGAAGAGTTTGGGGATAATCGGTGCACTTTTTAAAGTTCAAGGGTAAAACATGCAATTTCTAAAAAGTACGGGGTAAACAATGCACTTTAATCGAAAAAGAAATATATTTTTCTTTGAACAATGGTGTGAGAAGAATCATACGGAGTATGTTTGAAGGAGAAGGGCTGTGCAAGCCTCGCTGAATTTTTATACCTTTGGATCACGCTGCAATTCCATATATCCTTTATCCCTCAGACATCGCCAATGTTTTCTCAGCGAATTCATCATTCTCCAACTGCACCACTATCATCTTTCCACCCACAAGGCTTCAGACACTTGACTCCATCCATCTACAGGCACCGATTCTCTCCCAACCCACTGAAAAGACAAACCCTCCATCTACCGCACCACCGACCCACGTTTCTCTGCGCCCATAAAAGCAGTAATCTTGAAGAAGGTCCACAAGAACACTGGAAACAATTTCTGGAAAAATTGTCCCCCAAAAACATTCTTGGAGCAGAGAAGGTGTTTAGACTCATAGCTGGAGCGACCTCTAGTCCCATTGCTCAGTACATCCCTTCCCCTACCACTTTCTTGCACTCTACTGACCCCAGAATCAAATTGGTATACAGTTCTAACCCTTTTTTTTATTTATTAGCGTTGTCACTAAGATAATGACTGGTCTTTTCTTGTTTTGAACTTAACTAAAGATTGCTCCTTTGAATGTTCATGAGCGTCCCTCACATCTCGAACTAGCTTTTGGGGTTAACCGCGGTGTACACTTTTAGCTGTATGTAGAACAAAATGAGTCTGGGTTCGTTGTTGTTGTTATTGTTGTTTTAACAGTTTGCCTCTCTACATTCTATGTGCACGCACCCTTCCCATACCCCCACTTTGTGAGATTATACTAGGTTTGTTGTTGTAAAACAAAATGAGCGACAGTCATGATAAGGCGGCGCATATAATGTGAATTTTAGAAGGAATACTTATTCAGTCCATAAATATTTAGGCTTCTCTAATGTTTTCTAACTGCAAGAGGCAGTAAAAAGAAATGAATAAGACAGGAAAGACTTCACTACTTTTCCGGGAATTTTAGTGCAAGAATCAATTTGTAATTGGTGAAGTGGTAGGAGAAAGTTCCCTTCAAAAGTTACATCACAGTTCTGATTGGTGGCATCTTATATGCAGACGTGGCTACTTGCTCTAGTTATTTTACCAGCAAGGTCGGGTATTGCTCTGCGTCTCTGTTTCGTTGTCTACTTGGCTATATTATCCGTACATATCCAACCTACAGAAGTATGGAAGGTAAGTTGACGTTTGAAAGCTGTATGTAATAAGTTTTCTGTATAAACACATAGCAAAACAAGACAATGAAACCCCTAGAATTATTGGCGCAATTCTGATTTAGTGGGTGTTTCTATGTGCTTATAAGATGATCAAAACTGTTTATAAGCAGTTTTTAACTTATAAGTCAGCTGATGACATGTTTCTCCGTGCTTATAAGGCCATCCGTTATCATGCGCGAGGGATGGTGTCACTACCTCCCTCACGCCTCCTTCACGCCGTTACACCGCGCCGACATTTCTTTGGATGGGCGTGGCCCCTTTTTCTGTGATAGCCACCCCCGCGTGGCCCTTTGCTTTCTTCTTCTTCTTTTTTATTTCAACCAATCAAAATAATTCACATCTTGACACCCTCATTCAAGCCCCACAACACACATGTTTCTATCACTCCACGTCATATCTCTTTATGCTCTATCAAGCCCCTGTCAAACCCACCATAACACATGGTCTAAGCTCCTTATAAGTCAGAAAAAATAAGTAGGTCTTACCTACTTATTGTTAAGTCAGTTTTTTTGTTTCTCCGTTTTGACCAGATTATTTAGAAAATTGTCTCACACCAATTATGAATATTTCCAAATGACTTATCTATCATTTAAGTCATTTTACTTCCATGAAATAAGATTTGGCTTAAAAGCAGCTTATAAGTTAGAAACTGCTTATCAACAATAAGCCAATAAGCACCAGCACAAAGAAACACCCCCTTAGTTTCTTTGTCCTATCATTTTTTTAATGCTGGAAAGATCTCCTTGTCTGTAACGTATCATGTTTTGATAGGATCAACTAGGAAGAGTATCACTGCTCTCTGGGGTTCTGTTTATAATGTTGGCTCTAAGCACGGACTCTGCACCTTCCCTTGTCTATTCAAGAACGCCTCCACCTTCAGTGATGGGGCTACCGACTTTCCCGACATCTTTGAAAGGTTATTCGTATGTAGTTTTAAAAATGGGTCCACTACAGATTACCAGAAAGGGATTGCTAACGGCAACCACATCAGCATGTTTAACCTTCACAGTGAGTGGAATCTCGCCCTCCCTTTACCTTTATAATATGCTTATTAGTTGTCTGGTATTGATGCAGTTGCTAGTCCTATGTAAAATATGAAAATGAAGCATATTACCATATCCATTATTGAATCAAATATTCAAATGTGATCAGCATGCATCCTTTGCATTCTCTGCTGCAGGTAATATGCATTATTACCGGTTTTTTTACTTCGACGACATATATTCGCCTAAAACTAACCAAAGGTTGCAATAAAGCTTCAAATTGTGAACCTAAATGTAAATATGTCCTAAGGATTATTACCTCATTTACCTGTATTTATTACCAGGCTACTCTCTTTTGATCGCCAGGTGTTTCAAAGTGCAAGCCTTTACCTGTCAACTACAACTCCGGAGCAGATATCATTTGCGCTGCAATGGTTTTTACGCCCTTTGGATAAACTTGGTCTTCCTGTAGCAGAAGTCATCCTTACGCTGCTACTCTCTTTGAGATTTATAAATATAGTTTTTGATGAGGTGCGAAAGATTTCCTCTTTTTCATGTCAAAACACTCAGAAGCAGTTATGTCTGTGTACTAATAACTGCAATTTGCACAGCAAACCAATGCTCTTTCTTTGAAAGGAACTCTGTTTTTTATAAGTTAAAAGCCATTCCATCACAACGGAATTTGAAAAATTCCTGTAATGACGGAGGGAGTATATAAAAAACGGCTCAAACAGGTTTTTATAGATAAAACTTAAACTGACATCTTTTACTTCTCTTATAACATGAAAGTAATTGTCAATTATTTGATCCATATTTTCTTTGTCAGTTTAGAATAAGATATTTACACTTTAATTTGTGCTATAGGTGTCTCATAAGTCCCAAACTACTAAACCTGTAAAACTTAAAAAGATAGAGAGAAACAAGAGAAAGCAAAAAAGAAAAAGTTGCAGACATAACTGTAAAGAAAGGAAAGAGTAAAACCATGAAAGGGAAAATTGAGGGAAGAAAAGATGTGGCTGAACAGGGAGAAAACAAATGTTAAAAAATGGTAATATTAATAGGATGGTGCTAAAGATTGCTAAACACCCCCTTTTTTATAATAAAATGGACAAGTTTATCCTTAAAACTGTCAGGCAAGCTATAAGATTGCTTTTCGGGCTTGCTACATTCCAAACACTCCCTCCGTCCCACTATTTTTGGGACATGAGAGACTAGTACGAGGATTAAGAAAAGTAGTATTGTGTAATTGATATTGATGGAAAGGTGAGATAAAGTGAGAATGAATTTGAACCGCACAATATGACCAAATATTGTACTCCCTCCGTCCCACTATATTTGTCCACTTTTATTTTTGCACACCATCCAATACACTTCTTTAATCCATTTTATCTTGTAATTTGTATATTAAAAAATTATAGAAATTATATATTAATAAATAATAATCTATATGTTAAGACAAATCAAACAAGATCACGCATGACTATATTTAGGCTTACACATTGAGAGAATTTGATGAGTCAAAGTACTTAGATGAATAGTTCCAAAAGTCAAAAGTGGACGAATATAGCGGGACGGAGGTAGTATGAGACAAAAATAGTGTGACACAAAAAAAGGGACAAAAATAGTGGGACAAAGGGAGTATCATAATTCATACTATCATTTAGCATTCGCAAACTCATTCTTGGAGTATAACACTTAAGCTTAACAGGTTCGTAATATTGCTCTTGGGATTGTATCCCGAAGGATAAATTGGGAGCAGCTGACAACTTTTGAGACCATTGATGGTTAGTATGACCTGCCAAGAAATTACTTATGGTAACAATTATTAACTCCATGGTCATGTTCCATGAGATCTGCATTGATTTTATAAAATCAATCTTTTAATGGGACCTTTTCACTTTATCATGATCAATGATATTTTCCATGCAACTAAAAAAATATGATGGTGATGATAATAGTATTTGAATTTTATTACATTTTTCGTTCGGAATGAAAATGCCAATAGCAAATACCTCAATTTATATTTTTCATGCAAGTAGATATAATCTATCACTCCCATGATGATGGTTTTAGAATTTCATCTCATTAGCCATTTCTTTATTGCAAGATTCAAGATGATTATCAACTAGTTAGGATTAATTATCAACTTTTTTTATTGAATTGCAAGACTCCTTAGCTTTCCAATTGGTCAATTCTTTTTTTAAATTTCTGGTATTTAAAATATGTTTTAATTTCATTGCAGTATTTGTCACATACATTCGTCGAATATTCAAGAATATTTTTGCGCATGGAGAACAGATATCTCAGGTCTGCATTGCTTTTAAATTTGTTCTTTTAAATTTGATAACACCCTCCTCCGAAACCCAAGCCTGAAGTTTTTTCTGAAGATTCTTTGGCATCTAGTAAAACTATAAAATATGTGTTCTTCAGTGAAAATTCTTCTCTACTTGATAAAGGAATGAAATGACTGTATCATGGGTGCAATGCTCAAGTGTTTAGAAGTGCAGACTATTGGTTTTTGTTTAAATAAATGCTTCAGAAATCAAATATGACATAAATCTGTGTAATATGGTGTGTTGTGTTTTCAGGCAATGATTGTGAGAGGCTTTCGAGGAGACATCAAAGCACACAAAATCTTCTTGTCAGCAAATTCATCATCCCCTGTCGTAAACTGCATTTCCTTATGCATACTTGCTGGCTTGATTGCTGCAGTCACCTTGCCCACAGGGCTCTTTATGTGACCTGCAACTTTTCATCACTTGGCCAAAGCCATTCTCGGGTAACGCTAGATTCACACCTAATATTACCATACTACCCCTGCCTGCACCCAGGAGGAACAACCGGCGGCAACCACCACCTTTGTTGCCCAACCGGGTTGTGGCTTTGGCTTCATCACCCTCCACCTCCACCCACCAACAACAAGTTCTTCATGAAAAACTCAACAAGGATCAAATGGAGCAGGTGGTTAAGTTGCAACTTTGAGGGCAAGTCGTGTTTCCAGGAGGGGAGTTATATGATAGGTTCGAGGCTGGTTGATTAAGCGTAGTACCTCTTTAGGAACCTCTTCAACTAGGGGTGGGATTCATCCTTAGTTTTTTAAAAAAAAGTAGAAAGATTTTCCTTTGAGGAATGTTTATTAGGAATAAATATAATCGATGGTCTTTTTTTTGTATGTTTTGAGGTGCATGGTACTATGGATATAGCTTTGCAAACTTCACACATCATCAATAAAAACACTTTCTTTTCCTTTTGGCACTTTAAATTGAAATTTGAATTTGGAGCTTCTGTTCTCTTTATCTTTCCCACAAAACGTAATATTTGTCCTCAACGATTCTGATCTCACACAGCTCATTACAATCTACACAAAAGCTTTTACTACATAATTTTTCAATTTTTTTTCCTTTTTTATTTTCTTTTCAAAGAGATGTAGTTCTCAAAGGAATGCTAAGTTAAATGTACGAGAGCGTTATTGTCCATTTAAGTTCAAAAACATGAAAAATTAATTTTATCGCATGTCAAGCGTGTTTGTTACACATTGTTTAAATAATAAATCTAATATTTTATCGGTATTGATGTAAGATTTCGAAAAATGTAGGGAGAACAAAGTAAATTTTAGAAATACAGGAGATAAAAAATATACATTTATCAAATCAAATGAGATATTAGTGTAATAAACTTTTTTAGTATTATTTCAATAGGTTGATTTTTTTAATAAAAAAAAAAAAGAAAGCACCTAAAATAGGAACAAAACAGACTGTATTCTTAGAATAAGTGATACCGGAGTATGTTTTTATCTTGAAATAAAATCGTTATACTGTGATAATGTGTCACTGTACATTGGTACTTTACAATTTTTTTGATATTATATATTGACATTATGGATATTATAGATTCAAATTTAGAATAAAAATATGAAAGTTATAAGAAGTATTTTGCATCTTTATATTTTAATTCTATTTTAATTTTTTTCCCCTCTAAAAAAATACTCCCTCCATCCACAAATTAGTTTCTCATTTTGATTTTTGTAGTCAAATTTTTTATACTTTAATTGCATATTACGAAAAAATAAATTGAATTTTTATTTATAAATTTAATAACAATAGATTGATTTTGAAATATACTTTGTTTTGAAATATTTATTTTTATGGTATGTAAATATACATAAATAACTATATTAATAATAAAAATATTGCATTAAAAATTGTGAAAAGTTAAATGAATATATAATTTGTAGAGGGAAAATACTAAGGCTGTGTTTCTTTCGTCAAATCTAATCTGATTATAATTATATTTAGAATTATATTTGATCTGTTTTTAATAAAAATGAATCCGAGTAATAAACTACTCCGTAAATAATAAGTTGAACTAAAAGTAAAATTACCCCTCGGGTAGTCCGGTCCTTTAATTTATCTTTGAAACGGTGTCGGCCCCTACCACTGACTGACTCAGGATGACGCCTACGACGTGAAACTCAAGACTACCCCCGGCCTGCTTTGAACATATACCACCACCCGTAAACGGCATCGCAGAGCGGTTGTAAATCAGAACCGGAAAAAAGAAAGGGAAGAAGATGCTTGGGTTCGAGAGGCTGAGCCGCGGCGGCGACGCTGCTGTAGGGGGGGCGAAAGGTGATATAGAGGAAGGGACTTTGCACCCAGGGCTTGGCTACGGAGAGAATCTTCTGAGATGGGCCTTCATCCGAAAAGTCTACGGCATTCTTGCCGCTCAGATCCTCGTTACCACCCTCGTCTCTGCCGTCACCGTCTTCTACGCCCCGGTCAACGAGCTCCTGAGGACCAATTCCGGCCTTCTCCTCTTCTTCATCTTCCTCCCCTTCATCCGTAATTTCCTCTTTCTCCCTTTCTCAAACCCTAGATCTTATGATATCACTGCTATATTCTTCGAATGTCATGCTATATTGGATTGTGAATCATGATCATTTTGATATTCGTTGTTGTCTTCCTGATTTTCTCCTTGATCTAGAAGGATCATAGTTGAATTGCTGATTTATGTCCATGCCATTTTCTTTCTGTATTGCACACATTTCAATTATCCATCATAACGTTCATTGGCGATTTACTTGTAATTGATTTCTTGTCGCAAGCCGCCTTGTGATTATGATGCATTTGAGTCTCTTTGTATGAAATCTGTATAGCTGCATTTCATATTATGTGCATACGCACAATTTTCTGGTCTTCATAAATGTGACAATGGGGTTTTTGAAAATTGCAGTCTTGTGGCCCCTGCATGTGTATCAGCAGAAGCATCCGCTGAATTTTATTTTCCTTGGACTTTTCACCGCATCTCTCAGTCTTACGGTTGGAATGAGCTGTGCCAATACAGACGGTCGGTACTCGTTCTTACACCCATTCAAAAACGACATCTTTCATTGCTTTAGTTGGAAATAGTTTGACATTATTTCGATCACCAGGAAGGATTGTACTTGAGGCTTTGATCGTGACATCGGCTGTAGTTTCAGCTTTGACTGGGTACACATTCTGGGCTGCTAGGAAGGGCAAGGACTTTAGCTTCCTGGGACCAATCTTGTTCACCAGCCTTTTTGTGCTTGTTTTGACTGGCTTCATCCAGGTGGAGTATTTCGTATATCCCTGCTCTCATATTTTTCAACTCCAATGTTCTTGAGTTGCTGTGCATATATATTCATTCGTTTGGAGTGACGATCATGCAGATGTTCTTCCCTTTTGGGTCTACATCGGCCGCTATCTACAGTGCCATCAGTGCTATAATTTTCTGCGGGTACATTGTGTATGACACAGAGAACTTGATCAAGCGCTTCACATATGATGAGTACATATGGGCATCTGTCACTTTGTATCTAGATGTCCTTAATCTCTTCCTCACCATTCTGCGGATGCTTAAGCAAGGGGAGAACTAATCGTGCTGCTACTAATTGGCAAGTTGATGCCCAAAATCCATCCATCCTTTGGATCATTTTAAATTTCCCTTTTATGTGTAATGTGGTGTATATGCAACATATATGTATATGATGCTCTTTATTCCTTGACTTGGTTAATAAGTTGTTGCCTAAGCGCAGACTCTTGCTTGGATTCTATGTGTGTATTGGTTCGGAAGAATATTTAAAGTTTAGCCAACGTTATTGCAAATTATTATGCTAATACTAAACAATAATACTGTATGTATACGACTTTTTACACTAAGTTTGCACAGACACGTATTGACCTCAATTTTCTTATTCTCATTGATGTCTCGTTTTGTGCGCACGTAGATATTCGTGTGTGGATGAGAAACGATGGTACAAAATGTGGTGGCAAAGTGATTTTATACACTTGAACTTATCATTTAGCATGGACTTGTTCACAGATGATAGGAAATTTATCATTTCCTTAATATATTTCTTTAATAGTATTGTATCTATAGTAATGTAGTACTTGTTCATATACTATATTTTTTTGAACTACTAAAGTATTTGTTCGTACTAATTAACACCTAACAAGAGAAAGTTTACCTTCCATCAAAAACAAGATCATCATAATCATTTTTCGTTACAAATGTTTACCACATTAAGCAAAATGAAGCAAAATTTAAAAAAATTTCAGTTCAAAATCAAATTCATTGTACGGCCAAAATCAAATTCATTGTTATGAAATTTCATCACAAATGACAAAACTATGGATCAAAAAGGTTCTAACAAAAAAAAACTAGCAATTAATAACTTTTCAGTTAATTATATGTACGTGTTTTTGGTCCATCAAGCTTACAACAGGCAATTGCATACAAATCAGGATGCAAACTCTGATCATTTACAATATAATTAAATAAATGACACAGATGAAGTTCACACTCCCTTCGCTTCATACTTCAAAAAATAATAAAAGATCAAATCCCATGAGCACTAAGTTCCCAGATTGGGCAACTGAGCTACTTTTTCTATTTCTTTGATTATCAACTCCTTTTCTTCTTCAAACTGATCATCTTCTTCACCACCTGCATTTGTATGTTAGGTCGGGGATTAACAAGAGCGGGAAATCGTGTAAATTTTAAAGAGGTGCCAACAGCTCTTCATGTGAAAATGACTCGTTAACTCTAAACTTGCCTAGGAAACGTACCTTTTCCGGTAGAGAGGCTGTGAAGCAATTCCAATAATCTTTCGTGGTTTTTTGCCAGAATCACTTTTATTTCTTTAGGCTTGTTAGGGTTAGCCACAAAGACCTAGAGAAGGTACATGGAGAAAAATTAATCAACTATAAGCCCAACCACATTAAACAAAAAAGACCTTTACTTCTTTGGGGAACAAGCCACTATCAATTTTATGGATCTTTCCGGTAGTAAGCTGTAAAAAAACATGCCCTAAAATGTAAATTCAAGGCAGATTCTAGATGTGAACTTTCAGTTGGGCCTCCAAAACTTCCATACCCAAAGAAGGGCAAGAACTCATCACCTTAAAAATGTGGAAAGCAGATATCTGGATATTTTTGCTTGAATCCTGCACAATTGTGAGATAGAAATGGAAGGCTTGGTTGTAAAAAAAAGATTGTCAATAAATGAATTCGCAGTTTGGAGCACCTAAGAAAGTCATGAATGAAATACATAGAAAGCATATTAAGTCTCATTATTCAAAGGCCATACAGAGTAGATCATTAAAAAAACAAGGAGATGCTTTGTTTAAATGATTTAAGAGAGAATACAATACCTTGAGCAATGTCATCATGATTTTCAAATGTCGAACTTCAGCAATATAACGCTTCATTATATGGGAATTGGGAGGTTCTAATAGAAATTCTGACAGAAGCTGAAAGTCAAGAAGAGATAAATCGGCAGCTTTAGAAAAGTAAAAAAAATACAGCCACAATAATGCAGACCAGCTGACCTTCAGTGACTGCCTCCTTGTCACATAGTTGGAAGACGACAAGAGTTTTTCATACTGCTCAAAGAACTGGAAAAAAAAACTCCAACTCAGTTTTTTTAAACGGAAAACTGTATGGTGAATGAAGTTATAATGACACAAAGGAGAGAATTCTTCACTGTATGCACCATGCCAATGCAATCCCACTCTATACTAACTACATATGGCATAACTTTTAAATGTTATGCCGAGAAGTATTTGACACACCCATAACCTTTAAATTTTATGCCGAGAAGGATTTGACACACCTCATCATAGTGAGCTGTTAGAAACTCAGAGACTGCAGGTGCATGTTTGGTGAGTAAATCCTGTGAAATATTGAGCACATTTTAAGAAGCAGCTCTAAGAATGAATGACAAAAGTTATATGCATCAATAGTCCAGAAAAAGATGACCTTAAAGGTAGAAAATGCATCAGATGCAACATCAAAGTTAGGCAGCTCAACAAACTTGAAGAACAATTCAAAGCAAGGAGACTCCAAGATGTACCTTACAGATGAATAAGATTGTTGTAAGCATAATAACAAATTTACATTTATTAACAGAGCAAGAGTTTTATTCCACTTCCATAGTGGAAAGTCTTCCTCATGCCGCATAAAACAAAATTGACAACGTGAAGGATGTAAAATGGCACATATAGTAAAAGATTTAACAACAACCTAACATCCAAGAAAACCTTTGAAACACATAAAAGTTTGTACTAGTTTATCATGTATTCAAGTAGGTTGTTGAACAGCATAACTACTTTTATCTATATAACTTGACTACTTGCTACTAAAAATTGGAAACTTGAATTCGAAACATGAAGTTCACTTGAGTCATTGCACTAAGACTTAAAACTTTAATGTAATTTCACATTGATTAAGATTTTTCCTTTTCCCTTCTATACACCATTATTTTCTTTCTTTTTTCCCCTTTAATTTCTCCTTTTTCTTCACTATTCTTCTGAGGTTTTAATCAAAATAAATTAAAGTTTCCTTTTATTGTAATATAAATTTGACTACTTTATAGTTTTAGAAGAGACTAATTTTATAGGGAAATACTGGCTCTAAACTTAAAAGGCTAAACCGTAGTGTTACTTTCTACTCCCTCCGTTCTCAAAACGAGTTCCAATTTTGACCAAGTGTAAAAATAAAGAAGTGTTAAATTGTAGTTGACTTCCAATTTTTCCCTTGATGTGATGGTAAAAGTAAGATGGATGGATAGATTATTAGAGCAAAAGTATGATGTGATAGGTAGGGTATGAAAAAGGGTAAAAGTGGTTTTTTAATAGAAAGTGGAAGTGTTTTGGTGAAAGAGAAAAAAACGAAAGAGGAAGTGTTTTGTAGAACAGAGGGAGTATACTTTAACATGGCAAATCCAAAGGATTGCTCCTGCGTGCTGGTGGTGACCATGTGAATATCGGGGGTGGGGGGGAGGGCGGGGTAGTTAATAATGATGATTGGTGACAGATGAGAATAACAACATGCTCCAATTTTCTTCGCCTCAATGTTTTTCAAAACCATAACAATAGAGAAAAATCATACATTAAGGTATGTGAAATTAAGCACCCAAGCATCGTCAATGCCAAAAAGGATTGTTTTAAGATGAAACTCAAAGAAAAGCATAGAGGTCACGCTCTTAGTGTACCCCAAAAAAATCACAATCATGGAAGGTATTAGAGGCGCATACTTTGCAAGACTAGGCACTTTGATGCATTCTCGAAGCATATTCCCACAATGCAAAGCTATTTCCTTATTGTCATAGCTGTTCGTAGACAAAAAAATTGTGCAACATGAGCATTTGAGCAATTCAACAGATTCTGGAATTATAAGTGGGTGAACAGAAGTGTAGTGAAGGAAAAAAATTATTGTGCAAATGCAATATTTCTTTCCATGGTCTGACAGAATATTGCATATACTGTAAATTTAAAATTAATATGCATAGGGATACGAGCCTTGGAGAAGTTGCTCCATGTGGTGGTGCAATTTAGCAATTGAACATTAATTTTAAGGTGATGAAAAATTTGCATCCTGCATTCCTTTACACAAAATAAATAAAAATATAAGAAAAAGGCTCTCTCGGTGATAACTACACTAAAAGAGGGAACGTCTTATAAGCCAGAAATTTGTTTTCCACTCTTTTCTTTAGTCCTTATAATTGAAAACTAGCAAGGTGCCATTACGTATTATATGTTTGGAATATGTCAAAAGTTCAGATATAGATTTTTTTTTTGCTTTGATCCGTATGATAGAAAATGAGTAAGGTTTGATTAAATAACATTTGTTTGAAATGTGTCCAAAAAATAGAAACCCTCATGACTTCCCATTGTATAGCGGTATAGCCCATGTTACCAATTATAATACTAAAATATAATGAAGTACAAACCACAAACACTCATATGGCATTCCTCTAAACATTATTGTCCTTTGACTGATTCCTCCTTTCTCTAATTGTATTCAGTCTAGAAAAGAGGTTGAAGAAAACACTGGTCATCCTAAAATAGTGTCAGCATAAAACCCTATTTTTTACAGCCACAACAGTACAAAGTTACTTGAAAGTTACAATGGCTCATCTTATTCGAGTGGAGTTACTGAGAAACTAACCCCAGCACATGCTTAGAAGCACATGTCCACATCTCAAACCTACTATGAACCCACGAGCCTCTCCTTCAGGGATTTGGCTAAAATTGCCTGGTGTTCCAATAGCGCTACCGCCATGAACACCACTAGATTCCTATCTCGCCACTGGCAAGTGATCATGTACTCAATTTTTTGTCCTGATCCACCACAACATAGGGTTGAATTGATCTAGATCACAAACTGAATCATTGACTTTTTGCACAAAAAAACTAACACTAACTAAACCACACAAAGAAGTTTACATAATTTGATACTAAATGACAGAAAGTTCATATTAATACATTAATGATCAATAAACATTGCAGATTGCACTTGATTATCACAATTTTTATGGATCCAACATGTTTTTATAAGTTTTAGATAAAACTAATTTGGTGCTCATTCTGATTTATTTTAGCTTGTGAGGCAGTGAAGGGAAAAACCACTATATTTTTTAACTTTTATGGAAGGATCTGAAGGAAATGATATACGAAAACTGCAACCATCCATCTTACACTAAGCAACCAGCCCCAACAATTCTTTTTTTAGGACAAAAAACTACAAGACTTAATGTGCTTACCAAACAACAAGGAAGTCTAGCAACTCCAAGTGGTTTTCCATGTACCTCACACAACAGAATATGGAGTCATCACGTTTTTGTCTCAACATTACAGTCCAACA